CTCCCCTGGTTGAGACTGGAGACAGACACTCAAGTCTGATCAGTCTACAGACCAGATTCCTGGATCCTAAAGCAGGTCTAGTGATGATGACGACGATCCATACACAAAAACCCAGAAGCAGGTAAGGGAGAAAGGAGCCACTTCCTTTCTGGAATGAAGGCATGGAGCCTCCATCTGCAGCAGCAGAAAATGCCACCTTGTGAATGCTTGAACACAGGTGAGGTCTGCTGTCTGCTGCACACACCCAGCGATCTCACAACCCTTCTCTTTCTCTATGACAATCCACCCTGTGGCCACCTGCAATTCTCACAGGAGCATACAAGGATTGCAAACTGGTGTTCCTGTCCTCCTGCAGGTGAAGACGCTGAGACGGCAGGCAGGGACTTCCACTGTGACCAGGACTGAGCAGAAGTCTCCAGGCCACTGGGGCGGCTGACCTGTGAGACCCTTCCCTTACTTCATCTCTCCAGGGCACACCTGGTTTCTCTTCCTTCCTCCACCATTCTTGGCTCTCACAGCACACAGGCAGAACGGCCCCAGACCTGAGCATCCTGACCATGCCCGACCTCTCTCTCTCTCTCTCGTGTGTGTGTGTGTGTGTGTGTGTGTGTGTGTGTGTGTGTGTGTGTGCTCTCCTGACCATGCCCGGCCTCTCTCGTGTGTCATTCATTGTCAAACACGTGGAAGAGATTGAAGGGGCTTTGTTGGTATTACAATAGCAGGCGGCTCCTTCAAGGATCAGCACAGCATGGGTGTGGACAGAAGCTCGGCCCTCGTACCCTGTTTCCTATGCTCCAAACAGCCACATTCGTGGGTCTGCTGGCTATTGCCCTAGCCCCCATCAGGGCTGACAGCCAAAGAATTGTTTCTCCTGAGTGCTGAGCCACGGTGGGGCAGAGGGTGAGACTGCAAAGCCGGCTCCCTTTCCGTCATGATTCCTGTCTCTCCACAGACTCCAGCCTGTACCTCTCTCTGGAGACAGGAATGTAGGAGGCAGAGTGGAAGCAGGCAGGGGAGAGGGAATTCATGGCGGCTAGGAAAGAAAGGGGGGTCAAGGGAAAAGCCCACAATGCATGTCAACAGGGTTCATGGACAGCAAGAACCACAGGCATGAGTCAGTGAGGCATCTGGGACTGAGAGGAAACTTGACCCTAGATGGTCCAGCTGTCTCCACCTAGAAAAAGGAAAGTCAGGTACAGTCCCCGTCAAGATAAGGATCACTGAGGGAAAAGCAACCCAAATCATGTGCTTTCTGCCGGGCCACTCCCACCCAGACACCAGCAGAGACCGGCACTTGCAGAAGCCCAAGTCTGTGAGCACCTGGACCGGAAAGCTCCTGAGGCTGTTTCAACACCGTTTCATGTGAGCCAGCTGGGCAGCACCACCTAACCGCTCACCTGAAGAAGCCGGAGCAGCAGCCAGTGCACGGTGGACAGAGGAGCACTCCTGCCGAGGGAGCAGCTTCCTGGCATCAAACATCCCATGGGGGCTACCACCATTTAGGCTTGAACAAGTCAGCCCAAAGCCTGGGGTTTCCCTGGAGCTCCTTTCCTGTCACCGGTCCCTTCCTCCAGGGAGGGGAGGCTTCTTGGCTAGATTCCGGTTAAAGGTTCTCTATTTCCTGTTTCCCTCGAGGACACCTTTTCCTTCCATTTATGACAGTCTGGAACCCTGTCTAGATGATAACTCACAAGCTGTGTCAACCAAGTGTGGATAACACCCTCACTAGCATCTCACAAGCTGTGTCAGCCAAGTGTGGATAACACCCTCACTAGCATCTACGAAGTGTCTCTAGCAAGGGCTCACCCTCAGGGACCGCTTCGTTACCCCTGTGAACTGACAACCACAGGCTCAGACCCTCGAGTGTGTGGTCTCCAGACACAGGCAACACAATACCACACAGGCTTACGAGGAAAACAATACATTTTCAGGCTGATCTTTTTTAACTTACTTAAATTTTTTTTTGAGTGTGTGCTTTGAATTAAAAGAATTTTCTCCTCCCTCTGGCTTCTTCTTTGGCCACTTCAAAAGTCTCTCAGAAGAGTGAGCATTTGCCTGCACAGTATATACAAAATCACATAGGTATGAAATCAACAAAGGCACAAGGTTGAAATTCATGCCCAAGGATGTTCCCATTATGAATTCAAACCCAGACATTAAAGATTTGACTAAAAACAGAAAATTCTCTAAGGAAACAAAATCACAATGGCAATACTTTCCTAACCCAGTTCTGAGTCACGGACGCTTTCTCCTAAAATGACACCTGGTGGCTCACCAACACACGGTACTAGGGACATCCAAACAAAAGAGCTCTAACCCTACACTCCTGTCTGCCCTACTCCTAGTAACCCTGGGGATGGCTTTCTCCTTTAAAAAACGATCAGTACAGGATTTACCAACTATGGAACCATACAGGTCAGCCCACACAGCTGTGGGTGCATTATTCCAAGAAGAAGTCAGAGGGGTGAACCCCAGCATGGCTTCCTGAGTGCCACCAGACACCTCTGCAGCTTTGCAACGCGCATGTCAGTCACACCAAGCTTTACTGCGCTGATGCCTACTTAACGCCTGTCCACAGAACAGTGAGGCCCTTGGTCTAACCGAGATGCTCAGGGGAGGCCTCTCCAGGAGGTTCACAAGACCACGTCTCCAGCAATGCCGCCATGACAGGCACTCAGCTGCCACGCAGCGCCTGATGACAGAAGCCTCTCCCTAGTTATATCAAAGACCTCTGAGCCCCAGCATTTCCCACTCACCCCGACGCTCTCATGTCTGCTCACGCCCATGTGCTTGTGACCCAGTAACATTGGTTATTAATTCAGAGACCTTCAGCTAGACCCTGAAAATAGATATCAACCACATCTGTATCCCACCATAACAGTCCCATTACCATAAAAGGTCTCTGTAAATTAAATAAACTCGGATTTCCTTAGCATTTCCTCAGTCTAAGTTTGCCTTTGTTCTAAATGAGCTTCAATTTATATCCAAAATATATTTAAATATTCCAAAAGTATATGGAACCCAAGTTATCAAAAATGTAAACAAAATTTACCTAGCTTATATGTATGAAGCATATTCACCCTGAACTGACACTCTGAGGACAGCTGGAGTCACACTGAAACTGCAAACAGACTTCAGCAGACACCCGCCAATGACTAAAACTACCATCATGGAACCTAGCCGTTTGCAGCATCATTCCATTCGGGAGACCAAAACATTGCTACTCTGACCATCAGAGATGCTCTCTGAGCAAGCTCCAGCTTCGGCCGCCCCGTCCTGTGCTCGGCTGGCAGTTCTGCACAAATGTTCCACGCAGACCAAGACTGCAACCAGCAGCCCTGGGTCCTCCGCTGCACCCATGAGCTTCAAGGATGGAGATTTGAGGTGAAGTTGAGAAGCAGGAGTGGAAACAGACTGGCCTTCCAGGGGGAAAAAATCAAAGGCATCACTGCATGATGCTGTCCTCACACTCCATAGTCAGACTGCCTCTCCTGCAGCTGTCTGGTCAGGATCTGATACGAAGACAGAAAAGCCACTCCGATGTGGAAGAGGATCTGCCAGGTGTTCCTCAACCCATGCAGGTACACATTGCCCAGGCAGATGAAGGCCAGCATCAGCACCACCTTCAGAGTCCTTGCTGGACTGTAGAACAGGTACAGGTAACACTGAAACGAGACCAATCACATTCAATCAGAGAGCAGCAGACAGCCTCAAGTCAGATGCAGCCACCAACAGTTACATGCGTTCACCTATGACTGTGAATCACTAAAAACTGTATGTGTTCACTTATTAACTGAATTTGCTACAGCAAAGCTGGGACCAGCAGCTGCTGACCACCGGATGAACAGGAGGAGATTCAGAGAGAACAAAACAGGAGTCAGAGGAAGGAGAATGCTGGAGACACACAGGCAGATGTCCAGACTGGGGATGCAGAGAAGACAGAGATGCAGAGCCAGCAGGAAGGCCCTCCCAACACTGAGTGGCCTCCTTGTGAAGTCCTCCTCAGAGACCATGACAGCTGAGCAAGCTATGAGGGAAAGCCATGCATCCCTACTGTGATTTCTCCAGAGTCACGGCCACACCGGGGATCACTGTTTCCTCAGGCACCTGTTTGCAGTCTCCAAAAGCACCCAGTCAGGGACTGTACCCACCTGGACCATGCAGGCCACAGAAGGAATAAAGAAGGCCAGGATGTTTCCAACTTCTTCCTGGGCAACCTGAGACAGATCCGGGGCACAAAGAAGAAGGTTTGACTGAAAGGAACCCCTGGGGTATGACGTTTGTTATTCCCATTTCAGTGGTGTGACTGATGCCTAGCCAGACCCAGGGTTGGATGTGACCTTTCTCAACAGTCAGACAGACTGTTTCTACTCCTGTCCCGGGCCTCCATGACACATCCTCCATATGCAGGGAGCTCCCACCCCTTCACCCTTCAGAACCTTTCTCAGCTGTCAACGCTAAGCTTCTAGAAGCCGGGCACGGCCGCCTCCTCAGTGCTGTCCCTGCGCGAGGCCATGAGAACCTCAAGGCAGGGTCTATCTTAACCACCTTGCCAGCCAGGTACCAATCCTACCACAAACAGCTGACAGATGCTGAGCCACACACACAGTGTCAAGAGTGGGAGGTGGTAACCAGACGAAGGAGTTTCACAGCCACTGCCCTAAGACAGCGGCTCGGTCCACATCAGCCCCCTGGTTCAACACCCACCAAACACCATCCTCACTCTCCAGTCTGTGAGCACTGCGGCTTTATCTTTTCCTTTTTTGGTTTTTCGAGACAGGGTTTCTCTGTGTAGCTTTGGTGTCTGTCCTAGATCTCGCTCTGTAGACCAGGCTGGCCTTGAACTCACAGAGATCTGCCTGCCTCTGCCTCCCTCGTGCTGGGATCAAAGGCGTGCACCACCACTGCCTGGCTATCTTTTCTTTTTTAATTGAAAATTCACATGGTATATTCTGGTCTCGGTTTCCTCTCCCCAATTCCATGCTTTCTTTCTCTTTAAAAAAAAGGCAAAAATAATAATAATAAAATAAAGAAAAAGAAAATAAAAAATTTTTAAAGCACAGTAAACACACACAAACCCCAAAATCCATAAAAACACAAGAGCAGAAACCATAATATATAATCAAAAGGCCAGTAAGATTTAAAAATGCCCAAAGAAAACAATGACACAAAAATCTATAAAAAAAAAAACCTATGGTTCTATCTTTAAAAATAACAACTACCTGCTTATACTAATAATAGTTCTATTCCTTTGTCAAGTGCTTGAAATATTTCCAACAATTTTTTTAAGAAATATTTGAAGAAAGCATTGAAACAGAAAGTTGCTTCACACCAGTGGCCAACAAAAGGGATGCTCACTTCATCCCAGGGATGTGGGTGGGATGCTCACTTCATCCCAGGGATGTGGGTCTCCCACAAGAGAAGAGGCTCCCGTGGGCCACACACCACTCAGTGGGAACATCTTTACCCAGAGCCTGGCAGTGTGAAAACGCAACCTGCATCCTGTGGATAGTGGATCCTTGGTTCCTAAGGGCTCAGAGGCAGCCCAAAGTACTTACAGCAAGCTACCTACTTCTTAGCAACATCCCAGAACTTCCAAAGATATCCACAAAGGGATCCTTCCAGATTCGTTCAACTTACTACAAAGAGCAATTTTTTTTTTTGTTTCAGATTCTTTTATTTTTATACTCTACCCTAAGCTGGCCTGGAACTCTTATGTAGCTGATGATGGGATGTGAACTTCTGATCTTCCTGCCTCTACCTCTCCAGTGCTGGCATTATGGGGGTGCATCACCATATCCAGCTTACGGATTAAAATTTCTAAAACGTTTTATTTGAATTTTTAACATTCATAAAAACTAATTGTGCTGGGCAGTGGTGATGGCGCACACCTTTGATCCCAGCACTTGAGAGGCAGAGGCATGCAGATCTCTGTGAGTTCAAGACCAGCCTGGTCTATAGAATGAGTTCTGGAACAACCAGAGCTGTTACACAGAGAAACCCTGTCTCAAAAAAAGGAAAAAAAGCACTGGGCAGTGGTGGCGCACACCTTTAATCACAGCACTCAGGAGGCAGAGGCTGGTGGATCTCTGTGAGTTCGAGGCCAGCCTGGTCTACAGAGCGAGTTCCAGGACAGGCTCCAAAGCTACACAGAGAAACCCTGTCTCGAAAAATCAAAAACAAACAAACAAACAAAAACAACAAACAAACAAAAATCCTAACCCCATGACAATCTGTCTCCCATGACAGCTTCTGTGCCCGTCTTTCCATCCGGACTGTAAAGAAGGGTTAGGGATGCAGCTCCAGGGCAAAAGGCGCATGCTGAAGCATTCATAAGGTCCTGGATTCAATCTCCAAGACCACACACACACACACACACACACACACACACACACACACACACACACACACACAAAAGAACCTGTAAAGGGGTCACCTGTAAAGAGTGCTCTGCGAGGTGAACTCCACGGATGAGGTTCAGGGCAGCACACATGATGTTGAGGACAAGGGAGAGGACACCCAGCGCTGTCACCGGCTCCATCCGGAGATTCGGAGCTTCACAATGAAAAGAAAAGAGTGTCTTGTGAGAATTGTGTCTCCATGACAGAAGGGAACAGGACACCGACTAGACCTCTGCTAACAGACTCACGGTGCTAAACGCAGAACCACAAGCACACATCTAAAAAGCAACGGAAGTCAGCGGGGCAAGCCAGGAATGAACGCCAGAACGGATCTCAGAAACGGAGGTGAACCTCTTCCAGGGAAAAAGCCCTTTTTGTGTCAAACACAAATTTGTAAGCACGTAGTTGTTTTTTTATTTTAACCAGGGGTGATGTACTCCCAGAGGGAGGTGTCCAGAGACATCTGTAACTGTCACCAGGACAGGCAAGTGCCAGTGCCACTGCCAATCGTCCTGTGGGACATGGGATGTCCCAACACAGAGTCACCCGATACTGCATGCCAACAGGTCAGGCTGAGATGCTGGGGGCAGGGACTGTCAAGACTCCAGAGCACCCCACCACCCGCATCAGTCTTCGGTTTGTAAACTGCTCCACTCTTTTCCCAACAAGGACAATGTTCAGTGTCATGTGGGCATCCAGAGAAATTCACAGAAGACAAGTCCTTAAACTAAAATGCACAGGAAGAGGAGGTAGTCAACCCAGAACAATTCGACTGTCTAGGCTACAACTGTAGCCAGGACGATAACGGGAACACAGACTTGCTCTTTCCCGAAGGTCACCATTAAAACGAAGTCTGCTTCACAGATGCTGCCCAGCCTGTTCTCCTGCTGTGCTCCTTCCTCAGTATCCTTTCTGGTCCTGACATTTCCCTGCGCGCGCGCATGCACACACGCGCGCACACACACACACACACACACACACACACACACACACACACACATCCCCTGTAAGCCACAGCCCAGCTAATGCTAATGTTAGTATGTTAGTTCCCATGGAGCAATTCGAGTTCCTGTTAGAACAGAACATGCTACCTGTGAGGACTCTAGCCTTGGGACAATTAGGTGAGGCAGTAAAATGTCCTAGACAGATGGGTAACTTGGCGCTTTGGGGATTTGCTCCTCTTTTCTAAGTGTTTAAAAAAACAAAACATACATTACAAAGGGGTCCCTGTGTTCATGCATGGCAAGAGAGAAGCTTGGGCTCAGTTACCCAGCCTTCTTCAAATCCTCCCAACATAAACAGGAGCAGCTTGCTGATTGGCAGGTGAGCCAACCTGGGAACTTACTGGTTTAAACACATTAAGCCAAAACCAAACATATTTAATATGCCACCTAAAACTTCAAGCCTGGAGTTTAGTACAGATATCTTTAAAATTAGATTGTTACAATGTAGACAGATCTTCCAGGGGATGTGCCATCGCATGAGGTCAGAGGTCAGAGGACAACTGAAGGGACTGTCCTTCTACCATGTGGTCCCCAGGGAGCAAACCCAGGTCTTAGGCTTAGAGGCCTTTATACAGAGCCGTCCCACTGGCCCCAGGGCAGAATCCTTTCCCTATTCCCCTTTTCCAACAAGAGGGCTGGGGCTTCCCAGCGCAGGCTTCCAGTGTCTCAGTAATGTGGTAAGCCAAGGAGAATCCACACAGTCCAACGAGGGGCTTCCAACACACCAGTTCTCATGACGGGTAAACTTGTGAACGTCACCTTGACGAACAACCTGCCAAGTCAGTCTGGAAACTCCAGAATGTCATCAGACTGCTTCCTTGAAGCAAGCTGCGATCACAATAGTAAGGTTTTTGTTTTGTTTCTACAACAACCATGCAAACATTTGGTCCAATATAGGGCCCATCTGGATTCTTCCCAACATGTTTGATATGCCACCACCAAACCAGCCCATTTTTCCAATGGGGAAAAAAAAGTTCTATCTGACATGCATCCCTTCATCTTCACTTACCAGGCTCAGAGTACACTGGGGTGTGGCCGTTCAGCACGCCATTTGTCACATCTGTGCCCTCCAGGGACAGAACTGCTGGAGGCTGGAACTCAAGCTCCTCCTGAATCTTTTCTAAGCCACTCTTCATCTGGGAGGAACTCATGTGGTTAAAATGCCACTTTGTTTTCTGAATGACACTGTCTGCAGAAAGAAGCCCAAGTTGAGCATCATCAGAATGGGTGCTCCAAGACGGCGTGTGGGAAGCGAAGCGCCTGTTGCTAAGCAACTAGTAAGTCAGCCAGATTTCCAAACTGAGTCAGTTACGGAAGGTCAGGTGACTGTTCCGCATTAACACTAATCTGATCCATTTTTTCAAAGCAGAATAATTAAGTGTGGCTGCAGGAAGACCAACCTCAGGGACCCAGACCTGGCAGGAGGTACTGGGGCGAGCCTGGAAGGGGGAAGGACTATCCTTAATGGTCTCATATCAAAAGCTTTTTGAAAACAAAAATCACAAATAAATACGACCCCGATCCGATGTACAAGCTGGGATGCCATGTTTGGAGGTGTGCAGGTTGTGTTTGCCAACTTGGCACAAGCTAGAGTCATCTGGGAAGAGGGGCCTTTCCAGATGAGAAATCACGTCCATGAGGCTGACCTATGATGTGGGAGGGCAGAGCCACCCCTGGGGAGACAGGCCTGAGCTGTACAAGAAAGGAGACTGAATAAGCCATGAGGGGCAAGCCTGTAAGCAGGGTTCCTCTGTGGCCTCGGCTCCAGTTCCCACTCCAGGTTCCCTCGTAAGTTCCTGCCTGACTTCCCTTTGTGATGTTGATATATCATATATATATATATATATATCATACACATATGGCCAAACAACTCCTTTCTTCTCAAGGTGCTCTTGGTCATAGTGTTTACCACAACAGTAGACAACAAACTAGGAGAGGAGTACTGGTTTTGATTCTTTTAGTTGTACTACTATTAACCCATTTCAACAAATCATGACATGGTTTTAATTGGTTTTTTTTTAAAGCCAAGAGGGCATACAGTCCAGGCTGGCCTCAAACTTGCTGTGTAGCCAAAGATGGCCTTGAATGCCTAATGGGCCCAAGTGCCAGGATTCCAGGTGTGTATCACCATGCCTGGCCTAACAAGTTTTTGAAGTAGAACTGTGCATGCATTTGGAGGCCCAATCACACACAATCCTAATGCCACTGTTCTGACTCCTACCCAACACTAAGGAGTCACGGTGGTGCTAGGGAAGGTCTCCTGGCAGATCCAGCTGTGCAAGGAAGGCACATACAGAGATTCGGGGCAAAGAATGCAGCGCCATCCTCTCCAAATTAACTGATGCCAAGGGAGCCACAGATGTGGTCTGCCTGGGGACAGCCACCACACTCCTGACAGCAAGCAGAGGGTCCACAGGCAGCAGCTTCACAGCCTCCCAGAGCTCCTCAGGTCTGCCACAGTAAGGTCTGCACACCAGGGCGTCCCTACCCAAGAGTGACAGCCAGGGGGTGCTGCTCCCATCCATTCCCAATTGTTGTGGGACATCTGTACACTGTGTGAACATGTATCGCTGTGACTGGTGTCATAAAGAGCTGAATGGCCAACAGCTAAGCAGGAGAGGATAGGTGGGATTTCTAGCAGAGAGAGGAAGTCAGAGGGATAAATCTAGGCAAGCAGGAGAAGTGACTGGGTTGCAGAACAAGTCAGACATACAGGACGGAGGAAAGGTAATGAAGCCACATGATAGAACATAGATTAATAGAAACAGGTTAATTAAGTTATAAGAGCTAATTAGAAAAAAGCCTAAGCTAAGGACAAGTTTTCATAATTAATAATAAGTCTCTGTGTTGTTATTTGTGAGCTGGAGGTCACAAAAGAAAAATCTGACTACACCCAATGGCCAGGTAGGAAGTCACCTAGGGAAGGTAAGGATTCTGGCAGTCATAGCCAGATGGCCTAAGTGCTGGCCTCATACCTGACTGCCTGTACCACACACTCCCAGATCCCTGCTCAAGTCCACCCCAGAGACTGAATATCCAACACCCACCTTTCTGACTCCCTAGACCAGTGATTCTCAACCTTCCTAATGCTACGACCCTTTAATTCAGTTTCTCATGTTGTGGTGACCCCCAGTCACAAAATTATTTTGTTGCTACTTCATAACTGTAATTTTGCTGCTGTTATGGATTGTAATGTAAGTATCTGTGTTTTTTTGTTTGTTTGTTTGTTCATTTGTTTGGGGTTTTTTGTTTTGTTTTGTTTTTTCGAGACAGGGTTTCTCTGTGTTGTTTTGGTGCCTGTCCTGGATCTCGCTCTGTAGACCAGACTGGCCTCAAACTCAGAGATCCGCCTGGCTCTGCCTGCCGAGTGCTGGGATTAAAGGTGTGCACCACCACCGTCAGCTAATATCTGTGTTTTCTGATGGTCTTAAGTGACCTCTGTGAAAAGGTTCTTAGAAGTCCCCAAAAGGGTTTCAACACACATGTTGAGAACTGCTGCCCTAGAGCTCAAAATGAATCATGCTTAGCAAAAACTAAATGCGCACTGTGACCACCAGGCTGTGTTCTGTAGACTTGGGAACCATACAGGCCCTTCTGGCTGAGCCTGGAACAAAAATGTCTTCTGCCAGAGCAGGCCTCGTCAACCTGCTGAAGGAAGGACCAAAATTTCTCATTTCCAAACCATCACAGCAGGATGTTTTGAAAAAAATGTAGAAAAAAATATTGCAGGAATGTGAAATCACCATAGAAGTTGGAAACACTTCCTCCACCTTCTGGACTTACTCACCATGGAGGAACTTCCTGAGTGGCTCTGCCCAGGACTGGTGTCAGCAGAGCTTTCTCCAAGTGTAAGACAGTAACACTTCAGGCTGCTGGACACATCCTGCCTTGGGCAAAGCCTCCACAGACAGGTATCTATGATGCATAGATAACAGCCCTGGTTTCTATAACACAGCTCTGAACTACACAGGCTATGGTTTGCTGACTCCAGCTCCCTTCCTCCACCTCCCCACCGGCTGTGAAGACACAGAAAGCAACCGTAAGCTTCATGACCACCTTAACTGCTATGAAATCAAGGGCATGTGCTGAACCTCCCACGGTTTTCCTTGATGGTTAAAGACAAACCTAAACTTCAGTTTCCACACACGTAACATCATACGAGAAAAGAAAAGCAAGAAGACAGCCACAAACCGAACTCGAGAAAAGCGTAGGGCCGGGAGGCCAGGCCAATGCACGTGGTGCCATAGGAAGCCGTGAAGTCCCACCACAGAGTCTCCAGGAAGCAGAAGGCCATGGCTGCTGGGCACTGGTGTGAGCAGATAGCCATACAGGCCACATCCCCCGATGACGAAAAACTGAAAGAGAAGGTGATGTCTGAGCTGCCAGGAAACAGAATAAATCCCCATCTGTGCCGTTGTCTCTGCTCTGCTTTAAAGACAGATCTCTCTATGTAGCTCAGGCTGGCCTCAAATTATGTAGCCCAGGCTGGCCTTTAACTGATGAGCCTCCTGCCTCAGCCTCCTGAGTGCTAGGATTACAGGCAGACTTGGAGTACACATATACATGCAGGCAAAGCACTCAGACACATAAAAGTAAATAAATAAATCTAAATTTTAAAAAAATTAAGAAAAGACTAGGGCTGACAAGATGGCTCAGCAAATGATGGTGCTTGCTGCCGGGACTGACGACCGAGCTAAATCCCCAGAATTTAAAAGCTGGATGTGGAGGTGTGCGTCTGCAATCCAAGCACTCCCAGGGCAAAATGGGAGCTGGAGGCAGAACTGCTTAGCGGCTTGCAGGCCAGCTAGCCTGGAACAACAAGGGAGGTATGACCTTAACACAGTGGGAGACGGACCTCCCTGTGCATGCTACGATATCTGAATAACCACATTTGTGTGAACACATGTGTGCACACGTGCATAACAAGTCAATTTTAAAAAAGAAATGACTGCCGGGCAGTGGTGGCACACGCCTTCAATCCCAGCACTCAGGAGGCAGAGGCAGGCAGATCTCTGTGAGTTCTAGGACAGCCAGGGCTACAAAGAGAAACCCTGTTTTGAAAAACTAAAAAAAAAAAAAGTGACTAAGCTTCCTCTGTGACAAGGATAAATAGTGTGAGTTGGCGGTGACTCACGAGGACAGCCTTGGCCTTGCGTGCACAGGTGTTGGGGTCCTGACCACAAAGACAAGCAAATGAGAAAAAGCAAAGGTGGAGCATTTATAATCCTGTTTTCTAAAAGTTACCAAGCTAACCCGGATTTGATTATGATGTCGGAGACTTTTGTTTTCCGGAAAAGCGAGTCCTGTTTGATGCGCAAATAGCTTCTCAGGGCTCAAGTAGATGGTGGGAGGAGGAGGAGGAGGAGGAGGAGGAGGAGGAGGAGAAGGAGGCGGCGGCGGCAGCCTCCACAAGGTGGCATCCAGGTCTCCATCCACCGCCCTCCCTGCCTGGTACTACCCTTCAGCCTTCCCTCAGGCCAGGCTGGCGCTTGCTTTCTGCTTTTATGATTCTGAGACCAAACAGCCCTAAAGTGACGCCAATTTCTCTGGCCAGTTGTATGTATTGTGAAAGGGGAAGAGAAGGGACCTGGTAAGCACAGACCTAACTAGTGAAATCGCAGGTGTCAGGTCTGTAACAAGCCACTTTGCTATTTAAAAGCCTGCCTTGCCCCTCAACACAAGAAGGACCGAGCACCTGAGTGGCGGACCTGGGGCCCAACTGGCTGCCTTCAAATCCTGGCTCCACCATCACCAGCTAAAGCTTCCTTAAGTCCCTTGACCTCAATTCCTCCTCTGTAAAGCACGTGACCCAGCCTGACCTGCCGGATCCTGCCACGTGCTTCATAAGCCACTGGAAGCACAGGAAAGCCAAAGTATTCACAGCCTCCGGCATCATCATCACTGGTACCCACCACGGGCTTTCCCTGTTTTATTAACTAAATAATCCATTTCTCTTGTTCTCTCATGAGATTTTAAGTTCTTTGAAGGAGAGACCTAGCCTCACTCATTTTCATTCCCCTGTTCCTGTCACGGAATAGCAAAAGGGAAAACTGGTCTGGGATGAGGCTTGGTTGGTAGAGTGCTTGCACAAACCAAGTGTGGCAGCACATGCCTGTAAATCCAGCAGCCAGAAGTGGAAGCAGGAGAGTCAGAAGTTCAAGGCCAGCCTCAGCTACCGTCCAAGGACGTGGCTTGGGGAATTCCCGTGTCTGGGCTCCCCCCCCTTATCCTTTCCCTCCTTCTGGCGTATCCAAGTAAAGAGTGACTAAAGGGTGCCCACTGCAGGGGAGCCAGGTCTCCCCACATTCGAGGGTGCGTCAACAGTGCTGCATGGGGGCCCCGGGGATGGACACCCACTCCTTCCCTGATTCTGTTGTAAGCATGCACCACCTGACTGCCGAGACCAGACATTTAACCTTTGACCCACACTGCCTTCAGCAGTGTTCCCCTAGCATGTGGGTAAAATTACCCCAGCTTTGCTGATGTCTGGAAAAGTGCGTGTGTTACTTACTAGATGTGGAGGTCACGGCTTTCTGCAGAACCTCGGCCTGGATACTGAGCCAGCCTCCGGGCTAAGGCCTTGAGCTGCCTCCTGCATTCCAGAAACTCCTGGGCGTGGTAAAAGTCAGTGGAGGCCGAGAGGGGCAGTCCATCCCTCACCCGTACTACGCTGGCAAAAAAGATCATGGGCATGGTCCGCAAGAGAAGTCATGAGGAACCTGAGGAAAGCAAGGTCGCCCTGTCAGGGAGGCCGGTGCCCGCGCCAGACACTCCACTGCTGGAACTGTGAATCATTTCCGTCAATGCGATTCTCTCCACCTTGAAGCACAAAGGGATGGAAGAGGAGGTGGGGCCAGCAGGACTCAGGAGCAACAGCAGCAACAGCAGCCAGCAGGCTGCAGAGTTCAAGGCCCTGAAAGGACAGGAAGTACCTGACACAGTGGCAG